GATGTTTCCGGCAATAGCTCCTCTTCATAGCACATACATAGAGACACCAGAGAGAGAGGGAGGATAATAAGACTTGCAAGCTGTACTTTACACCATGGGACCAGATCAGGATGAACTGAAACGTAGCAATTGTATGATTGCACGCTGGTATCATGTTGTATTTGTAATTGTTTTACATTTAGTGATTTAAAATTGATAAATTCACTTCGGCTATGTGGTTTAATCAGGGAAATTTTAAATAACCCCTTCCATTTTGTAATAATTGCATTATAAAAACTGATAGTAGTGGCACATTGCTGGACTGATCGCAATGATCTGAGTTTCATTCTCAACCATTGGCAAGTTAGTTATCTAAACGGGCCCGGAACTCCACCACCTTTTGGCAACCCGTACCGATCATGAGGAAGCATGGTTAAACAGCTCCCATACGTTCATCCAGCAGCGGATCGTAAAATGACTATTGGTCGTGAAAGCCTCCGTGTTAAACTGAAAATATATACATTGGCGTCAAGGAAAATAAACTGTTTTCAGTAAAAAAAAAAGTGTGCTCATAACATAATCACAAAAATATTTTGGTAAAAATCGATGATCGAAGATGATGCGCGGTTCGCCGAAACAACAACAATCAGCACGTGTGTAGCGCATAGCCCTAAATATATCTATACACGCTGGTGCTCTCATCGAGATAAACTCGACACCACCCATGGGTATCCCGAAACCCAACTCTCCGTGGGCGAATGTGCCACCCGCCTAATCTGAAGTCGTCAAAACCAGCGGCAAAAGCCTGGCCGCGCCGCTCGGGAGGGCTCAGTTTCCCCAGTGCACAAACGGAACGCCGCACTATTGCGTGCTTTCGTCATCAACAGCCATCTTCCATCGTCATCAACGGTCATCTCCTCACCTCCAAGAAGTTCAATATACATGCATACATCCGCTGCCTGATTGCACTTTTGCATTTATCGTTCAGTAGATCTGTAAGGAAAATGCGGGCACAAGCAGCAATGGCATCTTGGGGACGAGCTTTTACGTGCCGGAGAATATGTAGCAATGCCACGTGACCCATATGGATCGAAACATGAGCAGTGACAAAACAAAATGGAACAAGCTGAAACTTGCACAACGAAGCATGGAGAGATGCGTGCTGGGAATTCTGCGGAGAGACAAATTGAGGAGCACATGGATCGCAGGACAATTCAAAAGTCATAATTTTCACTTGTAACAAAAGTAATTGAGCTTGGCCATCTCCAGAAGGGTTAATGTCTGGTGGATGAGACCAATGACAGAATGGGTGACGTAACGAGGAACATGCCCCATCTGATACCATTGTTGAGATTAGCTCGTGTGCCGGTTAGCACAGTTGGCTATGTATGGTGCAAGCGAAGTTCTACATACATTAAACTACTTTGGAATCACAGGACCACGGGGAATGGCGACTGCAGGTGTGGAGGTCTTCATCCAGCAGTGCATAGAACATGGTAGTCGATGACGATGATGACAATGGACAGCACGAATGCCTATGTGTGAACCTATTGCCGGATCCAGTAAAAAAAAAACCCGAATGAAAATTGCTGTTCAGTATATAAGCCAATGTCAAGCAAGGGTGATTATCACCTGAGGTGTCCCATGCAACTGGCCACTGGTTATCGCAGAGGCTGGGTTGGATGGGTCACGTGCGGAAGGAGCTGTGCCCTTCTATGACATTCCCTGAGTTATGGGCAGCCGGTATTGATTGTGCCTGTGTGAGAGAGATGTGCCAATCGCATCGTGACTGAGATTTATGCTGTGTTGTTTATGAGCCACACGGAGATGATTATTATTTTGTCTTTGTTATGAAACTCCGCAGCTCAGATGAGAAAAAAAAATGAATTGGCCATTGTCAAATTTTTCACCATAGTAGGGCATAGCTGGGAATACGTTTGCATGTGAGCAAGTCTTTTCCATCAACTTTATTTAAACCAGGTGAGAGCCGATTCAGACGAATCGGATCTTTTTCGGGGGGGGGGGGTGGGGGGTGGGGAGGAACATAGGTCACATCGACCTGGGTCACGAAGCAGTGTCTGCCTGAACAAAACAATAAAAAAAACACCATAGTGAAACCAACATTCGACAATTGCATTTTACGTTTCATTTCCAAATGGATGACAAGAAATGTTTCAGCCGTATGTGCTCGAGTAAGCTATTCGAAATCCATGTCTAAATTTGCACGGCAAGCCCCTCTGTGGCTCGATGTTGGCTGGCACACTTTTTCTCTTTTGTGCAAGCGACGGGTTGCGCTCGGGTATCTGTTGTTCCCCAACGGCCCTCGCCCACGTCAGCTCCAAATTCGGAGGGCCCCCCCCCTCCCAAACCCGGCAGTGGTCGACAGTGGGGAATCTTGGCGTAGGTGGAGTTTGCGTTCCAGCGTGTCACGGTCGCATCACCAGATGCTCCGTTATTGTTTATGTGCCGTGCGATGACTGCTGTGCCCCCCCCCCCCGCCGCGTGTTTTGTTCGCCGTCCAAACCCAGGCTCCCTTTGATTTACATTCCGTGAGCACGCACGTGTGCGGGACGTGCGTTGCTCAGAAGTAGTTTTAATTAGCGCGGCAGTTGTTAAAATCCTCGCGCTCATTCTATAAAACGGGGTAATTAATGCTGCCGTGCGCCATGCCAATGCCGCCACATCGTTTCTGATGTGGTTTGAGGTAATGGTCCAAGTGTGTAATGATGTCCTAGCAGATCTACATCATGTGAATATTACAAAAGAAAAAAAACTGATTGCTAAAGTGATTTCGTTTGTAGCTGTTGGCCAGATCGGCTCGGGCGTATTATCACTGTGTGTGTGCGCGTGCATGCGTGCGGAATGTGTCGCGTGGGTCAATACACGGTGCTTTTGGAGCGTTTCGAAGTTTGGTATTAATCGCAGTAATCAGCTGGCGGTCAGGATGGTTTCCGACTGAACACTGCGCGCGTCTTGATTGGAGCAAGGAATGCAGCTCAATATCGTTTGGTCAATTTAGGAATTGAGATTATCCCACAAGCACCACATCGGCAAAGGCCTCGTGCGCATCTGTGCTGGCACGGTTCGTGTATGCTGCCACCACTGTGGTGCATTGGCCATTGTTGACGGTCGTTCGATGGCTGTATGTTACGTAAAAAAAAATAGGTTTTGAGTATTGCGTATCCTGGCAGAAGATGCCACGAACAAACAGACGAATGCAGATCCTTAAATATATTAAGCTCCGTCGCGGTCACTTCAAGTGACATTCTACTGCAGACTCCCCGAGTGTTTTTTTTAGTTGCTTAGTGACACGGGACTCAACCGCACTCACCTGCTCACCTGCCCCTCGACAAGCAAGACCGGAGGTCTTTCTTTTACACACGAAGAAAGGCGTGGCCATTAAGAGTTAATTGCGCGATTTGGCTTGCGCCTCTGCAGTCGCAGGCGCCTGCCGGTCGAGGCTGAGCGGACAGCATAGCGAGCCGCCACTGGACCGGTCCGCACGACACGTGCGGTCGATCCGATGGTGGTGGATCCCATGGCCACCTCGTCACTGGCACGCACGGGACAAATGTGGGCACAGCTGAACGATTCGTTTTTTCCCGATATTAAGAACATCGCACGAGTCGCACTCGTTACTGCTCCTCACGCGGAAGGGACGCTCTGAAGTGCCACGCGTTGCACACTCCACGCACTCCCTGATGTCGTGCAGCATTCGGCCGCTGATCCATCGTTCGTGGTGGTCGGTGTTTGGCAGCGTTCACAGATTCGAACCATCTTGACGGGAGCCACCACGTCAACCCTCCTGCGTATGTATCATGCGCCCCATTACTGGGTAACCATACGACTGTGGTGGCAGGACATGAGAGGAACAGCCGCTGGTCCTTTAACATTACCTAATTGACGCGCGCTTTCTGATTGTGAATGTTTGCCCGTAAGTGAGTAATCCACATTTGTTTATAACTTGAAGGCCGTCGTGCCTCAAATCGGTCTGCAGTTTATCGAATTCCCCCCCTGTGAGCTGTGAAAACAAGAAGACGAGTCTGCATTAAAGCGTGTGAGAGCTTTGCGGCCGTGACGGACGGGGAGAGAAGCGTTTTTGTAACCGCTGGTTTGCGGTGTCTGCTGGGTCATCTGTACCCCCCCCACCCCCCAAAGCATTGTGCAGGGCGCAGTAATTATTCTCGTGACGATAACTTTGGGGACAGCAGCCTCTTTGCTAAACAAGTGAGACCTTCCAACTGCAGCAAGGGGATCATAGTCATCATAGGCCTCAAATTTCCTCATCTGGGCGATGGACTTTGGTAGGCACGGGCATAATTAAAGCCCATGGCAAAACGTCCGCAAATTTCACACTGATTTTGAATAGGGAACCCCCCCCATGGTCGAGTTGATAACATCTCATCATCAACAGCCTTGACGAGGGCCTCTCCAAGCGGTCACCATCTCTCATGGACCTGCGATTAAACAATCCACCTATCTACCTGCACACGAGCTGATTTGATCTGCTCCATCTCCGTGATGGACGTCATCTCGGATGCGTTTCCTCCCTCGGCTGGTGACGTCTTACTCGTTAGATAAGGGGGTGGTTGGCCACACTTATTTTCACGAGTGCGTTTTTTTTCCCTTCCTTCCCGCAGCCACACTTTCTACTTTGAGTTCGTAAATGTATTTTTCACCCGCAGCGTGAACCTCCGACGTTTGCAGTCCTGCTCGCAGACCCGACTTTGGGTGGCAGCAGAGGCTGTGCCTTTGGGCAGCGTCGAATTTCTACGATGCGTGTGTTTTTTTTCGAGCCGTAACCGCAAACTCGTTCGGCATTACTCTCTTGGTTGGCTGCTTCCTCGGGGAACTGAATTCACGTGAGACATCACAACCTGAAAACATGGCAGAGCTGTACTGCAGCACAACCGTGAAATCTCCGCTGCGGTGGTGTGTTGGAAGCCATGCGCATGTGCGCATTGAAGAAAGGTGACGCGGTCTGCTCTTCAACGTGCGCCCGTACCCTTTTTGTGTTGCAGGCGAAGAAGGCTCGACTTGACTCCGAGTCAGATGCCTCAGAGCCTCAAAAGGAGAGGTAAGGAACAATGGGGGGGTGGGGTCATCCGTGCGTGTGTTCTCCCCTGACCTCGTGAACCCAACAGAACCAGTGTTTGTGTTTCATATTTACACGGGACGTGAACCACAAAAGTTAGTTACTTTAACATTTACAAAGGGAAATTGCCTGCAACGTTAGTTCTTTTCTAAATATAAATCCTGAATTTAAAAAATATATATATACGTCTGCCATTCATTTTAGTTCACTCGTATAGGGTGTTGTGTCACAGTAAATGTAAAGCAACAAACATACGTATAGATATATATGAATGTGTTGGTGGGGTGCATTGGTGGTACGGTAGTTTGTGCACTCGCTATGAATCCGGCAACCTGAGTTCACACCTCTGATTAGCACGTTTGGCTACGTACGTTGCGAAAGAAGTTCAACATACACTAACTGGCATGGTGAAGTAGGATAAGAAAAATACCAAAGGCAAACATGGTATGGGGAGGCCTTCCTCCAGCAGTCGATTGATAAAAAGGGGCTGTAAATAAATGTGTTTGTAACACTATGTAACACGATTTTTGTTCCTGGGTACTATATGATTAGTCTGTCATTTGATCGCATGCCATTATGGTCCGCCCTTATTGGAACTAAAAAAACCCGCATAAAAAGGCTACGTTTTGCAATGGCTTGTTCACCGTGCCACCTTCCACGCCCATTACCCTGCTGTGGGCCACAATTTGACGAATGTATACGTGGACCTTGTTGGTTGTGAAAGGGAAGAAAAAGGAAGAAAAAAATTTGGTTCGCTATCACAAGTGCATGGTTGAAAGCCGAGTGATATGCCATGTGTTAATGCTCTCTTATCCTCTAGGCGGGGATAAAATCATACGTAGGCAATTGCGCTACGCGGTGGAAAATGTAACCACGCCGTGTTTCGCATTGTGGCGCATAAGCAAAGAGCGCTTGCCGTGCCTCGCAAATGATGAACTTTGAACGTTGCAGCATTCAGTAGCCGAATTAAGTTCTCAGAGTGGTTCAGCGAGCAGCCTTCTCTGTGTGGGCCTGAAGGTCACGTCGTAAGGGCCATTACTACATTTTCTAAGAATAGTTTTTTCATATTCCTGGAACTTATCCACGGGGGTTTCTCTTTTTTTGTACTTTATTTACGTATCTGATGCACGGTACACTACAACAATAAACACACCGTCCAGCCTTGCAGGTCACACACGTCATGTTACAGGGGTTTTTTTTATCAGAAAAGAAAGCAGATTTTTTTTTTGTCTTTTGACACAGAACAGCATTCCAGCGGATACATTAAAATAGCGTTGGACAAATATACCCCACACTGCTGTAAGGGGTAGATTAAAAAAAACCAGTAAGTTATAAGAATATAACAACAAGTAATATTCATTATACTCCAATCGTTTTTTGTGTCCAAATTTAGCCATATATATTGCTCAAAAAATAGTGCAACCAAATGACTTTGGATGCACCCTGACCATCAGATCTTAGAAGCTAAGCAGGCTCAATTCTAGGTTAACATTTGAATGACAGATTTCTGGGGTTCTACATGTACGCTGGCGTCCTCCCAATGACAAACTTCTCATTAATGGAACTGGCCAAACATCCAAATGCAGGACGAAATAGTGCATTATTATCATTTCGTTGACAAGTGAGGCCTCTATGCAATTATATAATCCATATATTGTTTTTAATTGAGAGTACATCTACTGTTAAGTTAGATTATGAATCCTTTATTTTAAAATGAATACAGCTATGTGCTTGTGCCTCCACGCTCATTAAGATAACCCTACATTATATTGTGTAGGGAAAGCACATATCTTAATCCATTGATTTCTTTCCTTCCCATGATGCTCTGCTTGCTCATTGTTAAAATTAGCCACAGATCGTCCTTGCAAAACACACGTGGCCTGAGAAGCTCCCTGGGCGCTGCTTGCACAACAGTTTGCGGGGGGGGGGGGGTGGATTGTGGGGTTTGGGGAGGAATACATACGAATAGTGGCACATCTCGTTGCTGGCACATATTGACCATGCTCCGCTTTGCTGTCTTGGACTTGGTGTTGCTATCGTGTTGTCGGGTTTTTTGCCCCCGTTTTGCCATGCACGCCTCTGCGTGCTCTTCGCTGCCGCCAGCTGCGCAATATTTTTTGGCTCGGTGGTCAAGCAGCATCGATTTACGCGTCCTAAATCCAGCGCCCGCAGCAGGGCTCGGTTAAGCTCCCGCTCGTCCTAAGCTCTCACTCGCGTTGTAAGCTCGTTCAAAATTTCTCTCGCACGCCCCGGTTGACGCGGCTCTATGGCAACGCACGCGAATACGTTTGTGTGCATCCCTGCTCACTCTCGACTAACGTAATTCATGTTTTGAGTAGGGGAGATGCATTGTGTAGCGATGAGATGGGAGCGCCTGCATGGTAACTTGTGATTTTCTAGTCTCTTAATAACGCGGACATGAACCTGTTACCGCGCTGCAGTCCGATGGAGGATTTCTTATTCTGGCTTGACGTCTCTTTTATGCGTGTGCAATTATCCAGCGCTGCAGCCGCTGTGGGTATACAGATTCCCCCCCCCCCGCCCTCCCAACAGTCTCCCTCACGATTGCGAGATGCTCACAACATTTTGAAGCCTTGGTCAAATTTAAACTTTTATTAATCGGGGATGTCTACGTCATTGGGCCATTCACATGACTTTCTTTCATTAACTATGGGTTGTCGGTGCCGCACAGCACGGCAAGAGTAAATAACGATAGCGTTTGCAAATACCGTGCGACTTTGCATCCGTAATCTAACTAAATGACCACAGGGAACCATCGGCTCGTAGGACACCCCCCAAATTGTGTGGCCGGACTCCTGGAGCGCCCCTCGTCCCTGTGTCGCAAGCTCCCCACGATCCCTTCGCTGCATTTAGCGATCACGTCGCTCCACCGTTGGCGCGCACTCGCGTCTCTCCGCAGGTCTATGGAAATGCAGGAGATAGCCAGCCCGCCAAGTCATTTGAGTGGAAGCAGCGACTCTCCGGGCGGAGCGAAGATTGGCAGCTCGACCGTTACCACGAACTCCGTCACTCCTGATGGGACGGAAGGTGCGTGCTGTCGTACACCCCGCGCCTCCGATTATAGCACGGTTGGCTACCTACTTACGGTGTTAAAAAAGTTAAACGTACATACGTACACAGTTCCCCCGTTACGTCTCATTGTGCAGCGGGCGTCAACAACACCAACAGGGATGTGATCTCATGGACTAATTTCTCTGTTGTGATAACTTTCTTGTTTGTGCTATTTGTTTTGGTTCCATTTCTTAATTAGTTTATCCATTTTTAATTTTACTTGGTAGTAGAGTTTTTATTTGCTTGGAAGTGGCTTTATATGAGATTTGGTCCTTATACGCAATTAATGTTCAGCATTATAGGATTCTATTTGCATGAATTATGCTATATAAAATTAAAGTATTATTATTAATTGTACAGAAGGTATTTCGTGCCATCACGATGGTTTGTGAGAAATGCAAAAGTAGACAGACAGGGATCGGTTGACTGCGTAAAAGAAATTAAATAATATTCATAACATTTTGGTTAATTGAGATAATGGACTATTTTTTTTTTATTCCTGGTGTTTGTTGTTTGGTAGCAACAACAACAATGTCCTTTTATCCATTATAACCACAATTTACTTTCCCAGTTTAACAGAAGGTGTTCCTGAAATAGTTGATATTTTGTTTGGTGCTCTTATTGACATGGCTTTCAAAGTACATTCTTATCTTTTGAGAGAAATGTTTAAGTCTTACTACGGCCGTTGGCTTACGCAATGATAGATACATGCACTTGATAAAATGCAAACTTACACGTAATCAATATAAATCTGCTTCATTAAAATCATTGCACCATTTGCCACATTTCCTAAATATTCACGCAGTGTATGTAACGTGTGTGCACCTTTCATTTGCTTTTCCATGCCTCGTGTGTTCCTCATAAACCGCGGCGGGATGTACGGAAGACTTTCGGCGATCTCAAGCAGAGAAAAAGCGAAAACAATATAATATTTTGTCTCATTTATTTTTTTTAGGGGAGAACATGACAATGCTAAACACAGCAGACTGGGCTCTAAGCTGTAACTCGCAGGCAGTCTCTGCGAGTGCCAACCTGTCTGGTACCGGCCTCACATCCCCCGTGTGCAGTTTGTGCATCGAGTGCCGTGCGAAGCCTGAGCTTTTGCATAGACCCCGCTTCCCTTATACATGAAACAGCATTCCTCCCTGCGCTGCCTAATCCCGACAGCTGCGCTCTGCTGGTCGCTGCCTGCTGCTGCTGCCGCTGCTGCTGCGTGTCCCTTAACCGTGTGCCAGAGAGAGGCGGCTTCTCGCACGCAGGCCGAACCGCTGTGTTTTCTTTTCGTCAGAGGCCCTCTCTTGTGCCGCGCTTTGATTTCTACGAGTTTAGCGCAATGGAGTCTTGTTTGGTAAATGTTGCACCCTGATTGGATGTGCAGAAAGGGTGCGTTACAGTGTGTGTGCGGTGTTTTTTTTTGCTGTGAGAAAAGCTTCTTTTTTTCTTTCCGATGCTAATGTTGTGTGCCTTGACAGCTGCTTGGACATCTGTACAAATTTGAATGAATTCAAAGCTGCTCAACTGTAAATTGCTTATAAATTCAAATTCGAACTGTGACCCTTGAAAAAAGACGACATTGTACATCTGGTGACGCGTTGGTCTCCCAGTTTAATATTTCCATAAACAAACCAGGACTGTCATTGGCTGAGCAATTGCAGCATTCACTTTATCTCAAAATCCCATCTGATTAACTGCTTGGGGAAGAAATAATTGAAAATAACTTTAAGCCATTGTGCATGTGATGGCTCGTTCCAAAAGTCAGTTTCTCCATGTTATTTTTGCTATATTTTAAAATACTTGGACACGTGTACCCACAGTCATGCACACGAATGCACATGCACACATTGAAACAACTTTTAAAACAAACATCTTCCTCTTTATACTCTTTGGGTCTTTCGGTAAAGTCACGTAGATATCAATTCCTGCAGTCACGAAAGCTTTATGTCAAGATCTTCCACTTTCTTATTCAGTGAGGAGATTAAACAATAAGCAGCATGTTTTCAATATATTTATTTGTGTTAAAATGCTGCCTGAAGGCCAAAAAGGTTTTTTTTTACGTAATGATAAGTTATGTTTTTTTTTGCTTAACTTTTAAATTGTACTGCCTCTGTCATTACCCCTCTATTTGGAAGTCATTGCTTCCTCCATGAATGGCAACTCCTGGCACAGCAGACATTTCTACTTTCCACATCCGATGAAAGGGAGATTTTTTGTTGTTGTTGTGAGGACTGCAGTGATTTGGGGCCAAATCTAATTTATGCCAAATGGATGTGGGAGTTAATCGGGATGATTGAGAGAAGTGGGAGGAGACATTTTTCATAATAATAATTAAATGTACCGTCTCGGTGTAGGCAAGTTGGAAAATTAAATTTGGCAACCACATTACTTGTAAGGATTTTTTCTGTGGGTTTCTGTCTTGACACGCGAATGTTTGCCTTTTACATGGTCTAGTATGTGACTGATAGGTTTAACAAAGGTGTAGCATGGGCAGTTGGTTCTGCCAAAACGCTGTTTACTTGAGCTAAATTACGTCACCTGTTAAGCTATATTATTTACGTAACCGACATTTACAATTAAACACATTTTTACACCTCTTTAAAATGTTTTAGATAGGACAAATATCTATCGTTTGGCGTGGCGTGGTAAATTGTTCGGAGATTCGGCAGACTATTCAAAGCTCTTTCCCAGCGTGGGGCGTTTAAAAGTTATGGATTTGCACAGCGAGTGTTGATGATTTGATGTAGAGACGGTCGGTGAACATACTTCGTACCTTTCCAGTGAATGTGCGAGCTGCTCTTAGTTGGAGGCAAGCTCCTTGGTTTTCTAGAGCTGCCGGTTTCAACTTGTGTCCAATTTTCTTCCAAAGTACGGTTTGTGAAGAAACCTGCAACACATGGCCAGATGAGTAGATATGTCAGCTCTGCATCATTTATTTGGTTGCAGTACACAAGTAATGAAGCTGTTTATTTACCCAGGAAAGCCTCACCGAGTTGGAAGACTTTTTCAGTAGATCCCTACATTGGGTTGTTTGGCTAGTCTCATTCATGAGTGTTTCGCGTGGGGTACGGAACCCGAGCATTCTGGAGCCAACCCACATGAGGAGGTAACACTCAAAGCTTCACACAGATTCCAAAATCCATTTCTGTCCTCTCACCACCTTCAGGCGGCCTCGTAGTCCAAGCCTGCAACACCCGATATCCCCAGGAAGTCTCCCACCCAAGTACCACGTGGCTCAACCCTGCGTAGCTTTTGAGATGGGATAAGATCAGCGCAACTCGGAGTGATTTGGTCAACGGAAAAATTGGTGATTCTGTCCTCCAGCACAGTCGTTTTTTGTGCTTGTGATCACTGTTGAAGCCAAGTGTGAGGACAACACAACGTTTTACAGCACATCTCCCTGGTGTGCGCTTTGTTACCTTGGTGAGAGCTCTGGTTTTGTGTACAAATTGACAGGTTTTGAACACGTGGAGGTGTCTTGCAGGAACACGAGGTGGTGTTTAATTTTTCTCAGGCGTGTGTGCTTGCGGGTGTCCACCACACAAACTCGTGTTAATTCGGGACATTGAGCGGTCAACAACATTTTGTACAGTTTTCAGTTTTTGAAATGGGAGAAAAAAAAAACCTTAACCTAGACAGGAAATAATTTTAGTTATTTAAATAATTAGAACGTTTGGAAGTCGATTTTTATTTGTTTGTAAAAGCAATTGTAATGTATATATTTGTTTCTATCGGCCTTGTTGGTACCAAAGAAGCTGTAGGTCTGACGTCTAATGTTTCAAGCACAACTAATTCTCATTTAATCGATGCTCTTGCTACTTGAAAAAAAAAACTGAGAACTATATATTGGTGTGCCAAGGTGTTTGGGTTAGCTTCCAAAGAGGACACATTCACTGTAGTTCACCGATTCTGCCTTTGTGCGCATGACGGTGTCGCGGTACCCACGTTGGTCCAGATTGAAAACTGTCAACTTATATTGCCCCGGCACCAACTGCCACTGCAGAGAACCATCCTCTGAAGCAGAAACAACTCTTGATGGAGCACGTAGCCAGTCTAATCACACCAGGTTCAAGGGGCTGTCTATCTAGCCACATTGGAACAAATGCTGCTCGAGTCACTTTGATGATTTCCCCTGGGGTCCAGCCTTAGTTTTGTAACAACTTTGTTGCATCTCATTGTGCTAAGCACTACCTCACAGCACAGTGAATTTGGACGTACCATTGAAAGCAACTTTACCCTCAGCTGTGGCCGTTTTAAGAAGTCGGTATAATTACAAGCTTTACTTATCAGCGGGCGATGGGTTGTGGGGGAGTGTCTCGTGGAAATTAAATCAATCTGCGATTAGCTTTCTGCATTAGTAGGAGTCTAACTATTCACCCCCTCGAGATGCAATTGTCACGTTTCCTTGTGATTCTTTTCAAGAATTTATATTTATTCAGCGTTGTTGGGAATTACGGCGCCTCTAGGGGCTGGAGGGGTTTCGTGAAGCCATTACTTATAACGTCTTCCTATCGCAAAACACTTGATTCTTAAGCAAGCACTTCAGTCTGTGTCTCGTGAACTTCAGAATCGACATTGGTCGATCGGTCAATGCTGTCGGCAGAGCTATGAGCACCGAGCTGACTGGTTTTGTCGGTTGAGGGATATATCGGCGGGACAGTTATTTGGCTTAACACCATAACATTGATTTACTTGCCTTTTTTGTTTGTTTTAAAAGCACATAAAAATGCAGCATCTTCACTTTATTACGGATAATCGGAACAGTAGCATCCATTGTCATAATTATGTCACACAGCTGTGTGCGGCATTAATGAACAATGCCGTATTCTTAGCCTGTCTCAACAACATCGCTTTGTTCACGATCTTTTTTAAAGGTGGTTGAATTATATTATGGGCCCAGACCCGCTGGGCGCTTGGTATTGGTATTGTCCATGAATTCCACGCGTGCCTCCGCTCGCTTCCTAGCCGTGATCTGGACCATTGTTGCCGTTGACACCCAACCAAAAGATTTGGTGATGTGCAGACGCCTGAATGACGAGGTAGCACACGGCGACTGAGAAATGTTACCCAGCATGTTCCCATACGGTTAACAGCGCACACCCGTTGACCCTGGAAAGTCTCATCGAGTCTTGAGACTCTCTTTCAGGAAGGTTATTTGACATATTCCTTCCGTGAGTTTGGCTTCACTTGGGTTGCAAACCGGAGCACCCAGAAACATCCCAAGTACTACATGTGGAGGGAATAATGCTGAAAGCTCCACACCGATGGATTCAAGGATCCTTTGCGGAACTTCGATCTTTTGGCCAACCTTGTAGCCCAAGTCTATTAGGCCTGGTATTCATTCCGAAGTAGTCTCCCATAGTAGTTCGAACCACACTCCCACTATGCTTGGCTTCCTTGAGCCGATATTAGTATAGTTTGGGAACACCGTCTACAGTAGCATTGTGTATTTCTTCGAATGCAATAATACGTATCACATCAATTAAATCCTCGTGATTTTTGTTAAATTCCATGTGGAAATGACAACTTTTACTTGAAGACTGAACAGCATTATCAATTACCAGACCATATATATATATTTCTTTAAAATATTTTTTAATGCATGCAAATTGTACCGACTGACGATGCGTGTATTAATGGACGGCAATGCTTGTTCAATTGTTTCCTTCCTGCAGTTAAAACAGAACCAATGAGCAACAGTGACATCCCTGCTTCCACAGGAGACGCCTCGTTAGACAGCTATTCGGGTTCAGGTGTGTGGTCACAAATGCCGTTACTCTTATATCCATAATAGTCTGTCGGCCAAAGCAGAAATTGGTACCATCTAAGGTAGCAAAATGGTAGTACCGCCAATTTATTTATATATGGCTAATAATAGTGGATGATTAGAGAACCCAATGGTCTTAAATGGTTAGAAAATAATTCACGGTTGTTGGCCGCATAATATAATTGGAACCACTAAAGTTATGCCACTTCAGGTGGTACCAACAAAGTGAAATATCTGGTCTGGGCCAACCTCCAATTAGCACGGTTGGCTATGTATGGTGTGAAAGAAGTTCTACATACATACATGCATACATGGACCATAGTACAGCAGGGCGAGACATGGGGTATTAACATTGGAATCGCACGAAGAAGAAATCCTGATGCTTATAGGAACCATCTAGCATGCAATAATAAGAATAAATCACAATTATTTGAGTAATTTCTTCGTTCTAGTTACCGTGTATGCTTTCCGGCAAATTCCTTCAGAAATACATTGCTTTAAAGAAGATGCAATCCAACAAACAAATCTATTTGTTGTTGATACAACAGATGTTGATTCATAACGTTTTAAGCTTTGTTAATCATAAGAAAAACACTTTAAAATCAAGGACAGGTGCATAGCACTTGATTGATATTACTGCAGTGGTACGGTGTGATGTCACAGTATAATGGTGGACATCCTCATATATATACTTTTTTTCACTCTGTCGCACTAACAAAGCTTCAATGTTTTATTGGAAAGGCCCAGACAAGCCATTTTCTATGCATATTGTTATCATTGTGGATGTGCCTTGAATGACACAAGCAACATTCAAGCTGTGAAATCTGGAGTTTTAAATCAATTTTACTTATGGGAAATCATCCACATTACAACACAGTGCAGACATTAAGATGTCACAAGCGCTGGACATTATGTGGCCAGGGACACAGCCGCAGTCCAGAATGTTAATGTTGCAAAAAACTAATTCTGTAGCTGTTTCCGCCTATTCACCATCACACGGTTTATCCCTTTCAAAAACGCCGGGATCGAGCAAAACGAGCTTCTGCCCGGTTAAGTAACGAACGGCCGATTGTTCGTTCAACTGTCCACTGAACCGACTTGTCGGAGGGGGATTTGTATTGCGCTAAATAGTTTCAAAGCTGAGGATCGCACATTTGCAGTTCCGGTTGAATTGGCTTGGCGTTTGCCCGTGGTGCGCACGCAAGAGAGAGCGGAGCGCGCGAGAGACGCCACCGAGTGTAGGCGGCTAATGGAAATAGCCGCGAAATCATTGCACGCCGGGCGCAGATCAGTGGGGATTGCACCGCAGACCCTAAAAGTCGCCGTCCTCGACCGCGTACCCTCAGCTGCCCGCAGCTTTGATCGCGTACGTTTAGGAGCGCCTTAGCATAGCAAGGATTTATCCCTGAAAAAATAATTGGAACGTCTCTGGCGGGTTTCTGCGGCTGTGCAGTTAATTTCCACGCGCCCCCCCCCCCCCCACAGTGGCGCAGCTCAGTTTGTTTATTGATTGTGTCTGTTCAATGGGTGCTCTGTTGAGCACATTCTTTTAAAATAAATAAGTGAAATACATAATAATATGCATATGTAGATCATTATACGTATGTCACTTGCATGTTCGTTCGCAGGGTTAAATTGTTGACTGCAAGTTGGTGCTGTGAACATTAAAAAGCCACAATTGATTTTATCTGCATCATTAACATTTTGTCCTCGTAGTCCCTGCAATGCTGCAGGGCTCTACGTAATAATCTGTTGGCCACATTGTTTTACCCGCAATAATTGTCTTGACTGCCGAGTGCCGCATGCTACCGTCGATTTAGTGCTACATTTGATCGCTTTTGAGAAATGAGACCGTAAAATAAACAAATGTTGAACTATGTGCATTTCGCATATAAGCTGCGATTTTCTGCAATGAAAGGGCGCAGACCTTTGTTGGCAGTTAAAACCAGAATCGTTCAGCTTTGCTCTTGGGAAGGAGGTCCCAGACTCGGTTTAATTCTGTGATATTTTTTTCTCCTTTCCTTCATTCCAAACAGCTATCGCCAGCAGCGGCTACAGTCCAAGACAAACACACCAGTATTCCCCGCAGATTTACTCATCAAAGTAAGGCCGCCCTTGCTTTTCTCTTGGTGCACTGAGGGGTTTGTGCCCGCTTTTCAAGCCTCGGCCTGTGGTTTCACAAAGATAAAGCAACTAATGGTGTTCCAGTGGTGTCTAACACTCCAGTGCACTTATGAACGGGTTGCATGAACCTTTCTATGGCTAGTGATGATCGCAAAGATTAACTGTTTTTGTGAATTGTATTTTGACGTGTTGGCATGTTTCAAAAACGAAATTCTGTGTGTTATAATGGCTAATGAGTCTGGCAGTTGAGTTGCAGCAGCAGGGTAGCAAATTCCCAACAAAGTGTTGCTCCATTTAATAATGTAATGTCTTGTCCAGCCCTTTGTCAGTCCACTGCTAGATGAAGGCCTCCCCTTCACTTGCCTTGCCGGCCATGGAGGTTGTTTGAGCATACGTCCATTGCTGGTCAGTGTTGTTTTGGTGAAGGTTGGTGGTGGTCCAGGACCATTTGAGATATTGCTCGCCACTTATGTTTCACGGTGGCTGGGAATTTAACTCAGGTCACAGGGTTCATAGCACAGTGTGCGAACCACTTCACTGCTGCATCTCTCCAGATAGATTAATTGATCGATTCAATGCCATTTGGTTAAAGAAGCTCTGTGAGCATTTTTTTAATAAGAGCACAATGATATAGAAATGCTTTGTTACATTAACCAAAAAATGTCCGTAGTCAGTGCGTGTTTGCCCATGTTTAGAATTTAAGAAATGAACTTTTAAAATGTGGTTTTTGCGTAACAATATAACTTTGTCTTGTTAATTATTATTATCCATCTTGTCAGCGTGGTGTGAAAAACAGCACATGCACCCAATTAAAAAAAATTCTAAAAAGAGAGAAATTAAAAGCCCTCAAGTCTAATAATAGAACCATATTGTCCATTACTAATTGGATACAGGCTACCGAATTACACAAGGGCATTCGCTCCCTGCCGAATATTTGGCTCGGAGTAAAGGTTTTTTAGTTTGGCGAGGGGTTAAAGGTCACATGCTTAACTTCAAACAGTTGCACACAAAAAATGTAGTGGAACACCCCGAGCCTCCTCGGCCAGCTGTGACGTTGACTGATGCCAGGTTTTTCTGCGCGCGTCCGACTTGTTCCAGTAGCAGGTCATACCCCCACATTCTGTCAGCACCACCCGCCCAGCCCATGGCTACCTACGCGGGGCAGCCGCAGTACCCAGCGGTGATGGCCCAGGCCGCTCCCTACAGCACGTACACGCAGCCCGGGCAGCACTATGGTCTGCCAGTCGTACGGTGAGCATCTCTCCACGTCTCTGTCCGGTGTGCTTATCGGGGTTGTGCGGCGTGTTGTATGGCGCGATGCCCGATAACGTCCGACGTTTCGCTCCATGTGCCGCCGGGAGCCATATTGTGTTCCGTTTTCGGAATAACTCGCTTCCGTTTGTCGTGCATCGTGACCGCCGATGTTTCACTGCACGTCCTGGGAACTTCTGCAAGGACCGAATTGTTCAGTTCAGGAACAATATAACCCAAAAACACATCGGACAGACAAGAGCACAACCGCGAAATCCTACGCAGTGGCATCTCTCAGAATCTCTCCAATGCCCACACGACTGCTGGGGGTCCTACTCTGCGTTTGTTTTAATCGTGATTTTCAGAGGGGTGCCGCTGCTTTTGCGGCCAGAAATCTCACTGAGGCATGCCGTATATATTGATCGCCGTCCACCTCTCCAGCGACTGACGTTGAGCCGTCTCTATTACATTACAGTTTAAGGCATGTTTATTAAATGGTGGTAATTAAACGATTGGTTGAACGAAGGTTGTTTTAATTGCGCAAAGTTGATCATGTAATTCTAATTTTTTGCCGCTATCATTATTTGTATTTTCATCGAGTCTTTTGGTTTTAAGTTAAATATTACTGCGAGTGCAACGTTCGGTGACACAAATTGACCTAACTTAAAAATATGAGTTCATGAATGTGTGCTTCGTCATGTTCTTTTTCTTTTGATACCGTTTATAATTTATGGTTGTCCAAAAAATAAGGAACACAATCAATCGCTGTTATTTTTATCAAAAACCTGACAGGTACACAGAACAGCTCATCCACTGTTAAGGGGAGAATATAAACTGTGATCATACACTTTCAAATAAGAGCAGCCATTTGCTAAGGATGAAATGTTTGCTTAGGAAGAAACGTGTTCCAAGAGGCATCCAGAAGAGTGACGAAGCTGACGTATCAACTTGTGACATTGTACAAGCAAGGTGGAGTGTGGACATAGCCACTACGGGGACGGGTGGTGGAGAGTGGCTGAGGAAGAATTAGTGGCTATGATTGTCGACGACGAGGATAATGGTTGGCGACGTGGACTTGTTGGTTGTGCAAAATATCAGCTGATGCACTGTGGGCAGGGATCAAGACGGAGGGCGGTTTGCTGCAGGGTCAGACGGCCGGCCAGGCGGGCTACCTCACCACATACGGAGCTGGCTTCAGCGTGCCCCAGCCAGGACAGACGGCATACTCGTATCAGATGCAAGGTCAGTATTTGAGCGTTAACAATAATGATAATTAGTATATGTTGAATTTCGATTTAAGGCTTTCGTGACTGCAGGGATTCATCTTCTTGGTTCTTTCGGTAAAGTCACTGTAGAAGGGAAATAATAAAATAATAAAAATAAAACATAATAAATAATTGTCGGAAAGACAGACCTGTTCTTCACCTGAGGACGTCTGAATGAATTCATTCAGACGCTGTCTTTCCGACAGACCGGTTCTTCACCTTGAGGACGGCTGCTTGCGTTGTGGCCTGAAACGTCGTGAGAATTATTTGATTATGTTTTATTTTTATTATTAGATTATTATTTCCCTTCTACGTGACTTTACCGAAAGAACCAAGAAGATGGTATATGTTGATGACAAATAGAACAAACGACCAAGCCACCTGTGTCTACGGTGGACAACCCCCCCCCCCCCCAATGTTGATTTAACGACTGCACATTTTTACTCGTCGTGTCTCACTGGTATCATTTGCTGGGTGGGGGTGGGGGGAGGAGGCAAGGCATGGGTGGCGTCGATTACATTTGCATCTATGTGTGTATTTACGTTGCATCAAATACATTTGTATATATCCATGTATTTGCGTGTATTTACGTTTGCTGCACGTGAGCGCAGAAGCGGCGAGTCTTGCAAAGTTGACGCCGTGCCTGAAGTTAGGGTCACTGCCCCTTGTGCCCGATGGATGGGCCGCACCATTTGGTTTAAATTCTTGTAGGGGGGTAGGTTTTGTTGGGATCGGCTTGAAGCTTTAACGTCATATGCTGACTGCTCTTTTGAGTATCTGTGGTGAATATTGAATGATTACAACCTAAATATCATTGCCTTCCTCAACAACGAGCATGTTGCTTTGGGGGGGGGGGGTTGCCATATTTAACCATTGTTGAAATTCCTCAATTTCACACTGCAAAGCAGCAGTGTCCTAATAATTGTATAGAATTCGCCTTTAGTTTGGTGTGTGTTTCACTTCTGTGCGTTTACAATGAAGTGATCTGTTCAGATGTCCACATGGCACGGTGGTCAGCCTGCAAACGGATCAGGACTCGGATGTATTTTTAGACGTTTTATCCTCGCTGCCAGACGTAACGCTTATTAATAGCAGAGCTGAGACGTAAGTGCATCAGGAAAATTCGATAAAAGAACCTCTTCAAAGTGTGCAGTCGGTGACATTTACAGTATATTATCGTAATATTTAAACGTTTTTTCACCAAAGCAACATGCGCAATATTGCCACAATAGGAGAGGCCTTTTTAGCGCAAAAATAAATACGAGTGGGGAGAAAAATAAAAATCTGGACTGTGGTGCTCAGGGTGTAAGGCATAAAATCCCAGCGGGTTTCCCGCTATGACCACTCCTTGTATATCGACGTGGAGTTTGAAGCCTCGGCAATGAAACTCTGGACGTTCCGATGCAGCCAAGAGGTACACCCATGCCCAGAATCCAGCACACATGGCGCCTCTCATCCCCAGCCTGTGTTTTCACGTGCGCGTGCCAGATTGTCGCAGGTGCGTTTTTGTTGCAGGCCCTTCTGAGCGGCGTGGCCGCGAGTTTTGTTATGCTTGAGCTATGCCGTCGAGAGAGTCACTTCTGCCAGGGTTACGTGTCTTGTTGACGCGCGGAAAGCAAGAGTTTCAGCGTCGGCCTGTGGGACGATGGATGGGGGGGGGGGCTCTTTATGCCGCTGCACCGGCATAAAAAATAAAATAAAAATAGCACCGCGGTACGTTTTTACGTTTTCACAGTTGCACTCTATAACTCTCTCCGCCGGGCTTTCGTGTCGGACCGCCTGGTTGTTCAGCATGCCGTCCGGCGTTTCGCTCCGAGCGCTGGGCACTTCCATCGTGCCGCACATCACACAGCGCACCTTCTATGGAGCGTCGTAAGCGCTGACGCTTGCTGCGACGTTACGTTCAGAATAGTGAGGGTCGCCATCGTCGAAAGAAGGGACCTAGCAGGACATGTTGCATGTTGCCATTGTTGGCCCGGACGTAGTGGTGTAATTTCTGTGTTCCCGTGAAGGTGACCAGTCTGTCCACTGGAATGCCACTGTTGGCTTCTCAGCTAGTGATGCAGCCTCCCGAAGTGGTACTAATTTTACTGACGCTGGTGGCATGATGGGTCAAGTTGACCCCCGATCGGCGTATGAATTCGAATATTGAGTCCGAATTGCTCTGGCGGTGGAGTTGTGTCGCAGAGAGATATTAATTACATTATCCCGTCTTTCAGTAACAATGCATGCGTAAGCAAAGTGGTACTTGATGTTCATCTCATGTCTGCCAAAGTATACCAATATTTACACAATGGGACCTTTCTTTTATAAAAAAAAAAATTTTATTTGGAAACCTTTGGCTATTTTTAAATATTTAAAGAAAAAGGTTATTTGTCGCACAACCAGCTGTGCTAATGTTTCATGCCAGACTGGAAGGACGAGTTTATTTAGTCACATGAACAAAAGTGTAAAGGGATAACGAGTGTAGGACTGTCGTGGCAAAAAACACACGCGAGAAGCCCCCCCCCCGCTCTTGACCAGTTGGTGCAGTGGGAGCTCTCTGAATCCCATTGGTCAACTGGCAATAATTAGCTGTTAAGTTTGTCATAATTCCCATGAAAGTAAAAATACTCGACTTTAAAGCTGTAAACTGTGTATACATCTTGACTTAAAGCTTTCGTGACTGCAGGAATTCATATTCTTTGGGTATTTTGGTAAAGCCACGTAGATAGAAAAATAATACAAATATCACGACGTTTCGATCGCAACACAAGCAATCGTCATCAGGTTGAAAAAAAAATTGTTAAATTAAATTTGGCTATTTTTAATTTGTCATTTTTTAATATATATATTTTTGTAAAAAAAAAAGTTAAACATTTGTTTCACCTTATGACGATTGCTTGTGTTTGCGATCGAAGCGTCGTGATTTTTTTTTTATATCTACGTGGCTTTACCGAAAGACCCAAAAAAAAATGTGTATACATTTTGAATTAAAGAGGTGGAGAGCAGTGGCGCAGCGGTTTGCGTACGACACTATGAACCTGAACACTTGAGTTTGATTCCACGCCATGGCTAACAATAGTAACGTGTGCAATACCTGAACCGATCCAAGCCCCCCCCCCCCTCTCTCCCCCGCCTCGCCTTCACCAACCCACATTGACAGGCATATTGAAGTATGGGCAATATGTTTTGGGGATGCTTTAATCCAGGAGTGGATTGACAATATATAAGTAAAATAGTTTATTTCGTATTATATTTATTGCATTTTCAAAAACCCTTTGGGGTTTGGGTGTTTTTACGTAAGCATCAACGAATTTTTAAACAGCTCTCAGAATGTAAAATTTTCACTTTTAGTTTAAGCTGCATAACGTGGTTGTGCAATGTTATTAAGTGATTATCAGGTAACACACTGAGTCGGCAAATTTTACACATCAAAAGCTTGTGTTGGGAATTTGCATCATGTGTTAGATTTTTATTTTCATCGCGTCAAAAAAAGCATATTAATATTGGATATCAATGCAGGATCGCGTCACAAAAGCGTCCCAAGACTTTAAAAGAGGGTCCTTCGTGGAATGTTTGGCCGGATTCACCAGCGAGAGTAGTTTTGCACGTCTGAACGAAACCGGAGAAAACCTTACTCTTTTGTTCTTTCGGTAAAGTCACGTAGGTAGAAATGAAATAAAATAAAACGAATCACGACGTGTTAAGCGATCCTCATCAGGTGGAACACCCACAGCAAGAAAATGTTGAGGTGGGCGGGAGAGCTGCCGTGGCAAGAGGTTATATAGGTAAGAAGGGGGGGAGGAGCAATGCGGGAGAGAGAGGGGGGTTAGGGGGGGGTAGAGGGGGGCCGTGTGAGCGCTTGGGGAAGAGGACGTGAGTCTGAGGGGGGGGAGTGGGCGGGGCTAGAAGTGGGAAAACCTGCGCGCACGCAAGGAGATGGCACTCAACAATTCACGCGGATGGCCTGGCAACCTTCGTGTGTTGTGCTGCCTTCTGCTACTGCCATGTCGGGGCCAAGGTCTCGTGATGGTGGTGATACTAAAACATTGTTTTGTGCGTGGCACAATCGGGCACGTATAATTGTGGAGTATTTAAAATCTGCGTGGAGGTATAATATCAAAGCTGCTTTTGTGGCCCCCTCCCCCCTCGCTTGTGCCTTTCGAAAGGGTTGCGGTGAATGTGTTGACGGTGAGGGGTTTTTTTTAGACATTGGCTCATCTGAATTTTCGAACGGGGGGTGGGGGGGCGGGGAAGCTTGCCATTAGCACACACTTAACACGTGCGAGGCTGTGGGGAGAGGCCAGTTTACGTAATGAAATGTGAGCGAGAAAAACATCTCTCTCTCACTCCATTAATTGGGAACAGTCCGGTGGCCCCGAGCACTAATAACGTCGTGCACATTTTGTTTTGAAACCGCCCGTTGTCTGCCGAGGTCGCGGTGTCCATGCCAGCTGAACCCGATCCCGCGCGCAAGAACGTTGCCGCTCGTGCCTCCTCGCCCACCACCGCCGCCGCCGCCGCGAGATCTCATCGCAGATTATTTTAACCTTTTTACCATTTGTTCGTGCATCGCCAGAATGTGGGGGACCTGTGTGAAGCGAGTAGCCGAGGGAGAAAGGTTTCTATTTCTACAATACCACTTTCTGTAAATGCGGCGGTTTGTGGATAGCGAGTATTTCCAAGGCAGTTTTCCTCCTTTTAAAATAGCCGCTGGCTTAAAATATGGACCTTTAATAAACCAGCACCTTTAAATAGGGCACACGTGTGTATGCTGTATATATTACATGTGTTTCATGGGTCGAAATTGACCGGCACACCCACAGGGTTAGCATATAGCATGCTCGGAATAAATATTAGCTTTTTAACCCAGTGTTGCTCAATAGCAACAGAGGATGTCTTGTTTAGCGGCCTGTTGATGGTCAACAAAGAAATGTGGTGTTCATTAGCGGTGCATTCATTTTATTTGGGACTAAGTGATCGGAATGCCCCGTT